CATCGATTGCTTGGTCTTGATCGGTGAATACCCGCTTCGCGCGCATAAATAAAGTTGCAAGTAGTGAATCGAACCAGTAATGGGTAGACTATTTTCATGTCTTTATGTGATTCTCTTTAAGGTTCGATTTTCGGTATTTGGAGCAAACTCAGCAATGGATTGACTCCTGCAGAAAGACGATTTCATGCAGCCAGCAGGTGAGGTAGGCAACAGCGTATTGCATCATTATTAGTAATGTGTTATACATATACATAACCTGTACATAAATTATATATATATATATATATATATATATATATATATATATATATATATATATATATATATATATATATATATATATATATATATATATATATATATATATATATATATATATATATATATATATATATATATATATATATATATATATATATATATATATATATATATATATATATATATATATATATATATATATATATATATATATATATATATATATATATATATATATATATATATATATATATATATATATATATATATATATATATATATATATATATATATATATATATATATATATATATATATATATATATGTATAGGTATACATATACTTACACATACAGCTACGTATATTATAAAACAGCACATAGCTCTTCTCAACGAAATCTTAGTCAAGAAATACAAGGGTGCCTTGTCCACAAATATTACTGTAGGCTACTTTGAAAAGCTATTCGAAGTTTTTGCTGGCAAATATCACCAATAGTCGCGAAAAACGGTGGGCAGTTTTTCGTTCTCACAAGAACTGATGAGTGAAGGCCACTTCAGCCCTTAAATATATCAAGAGGACTTACAGTAAGCTAATATATGCTGTTGTTTCCCATGTAGAACGAATACTATATGTTGTACCAGGTCCTTCGACTAACCTCTAACACAGGCTCGTACTTTGGAGGAAAACGGTGTGGAACAAGGCTGACACCTAATGGCGTCAACTTTTGTATCGCCAGAAGTGCTGTTTTATTGTCGATGAGGGAAAAAGGGTGCGGTTAGGTGGTTGAGGTTTTCGTGAATTCGGTCGACATTCAAATGAGGGTAAGTGAACCTTATCAGAATAACCATAAAACAAAGCGAAGAAACCAAAACGAACAGAAACAGCTCAATGTGAATACACCGGCAATCATAATATAGAGCTTTAGTGCAGCCAATGTAATGTTATCGAATAATGCCAAAAATCATAAATCGTGAAAGACAGACAAAAGCAGCTTAGTTGGTATAAGGGAGAATTGGCGTTGCATTATCACCAAAAAGGAGAGAATATAGAATCGGTGAACATGCAGTGGTTGTTTCGCATTGCAACATCGCCATTCGCACGTCGACAGAATGAAGTAGATAAGATTAGAAATAAAGGAGCACAGGATAGTGCCGTTGAAGCTGCTCTCTCCCCCCCATTTAAACGCCATTTTGCGCTCTCCTGCGAGCATTTGATTCCACGACAGTTGAATTTGCGATGAGAAATCGCCTTCATTTGCGGGATGATTGCATCCAAATTTGAATAAGCGACTAACAAAGAATAACTAACATCCGACTCTGCTGAGAACATTGCACCCGAGAATGTGAATTGTGCAGTTCAAACGTAGCAAAGGGCTACAGCCTCATGTGAGTGCCACGCGAAACAGGCATTTGCACGGAATCCATTGATCTTTGTGAAATATTTTGTCTTGTCTGCAAATAAGCGCTTGAAAACGGTAAATTTTCACAACCGACGAACTGTTGTCAGTTGGAAGACCTGTTTCTTGAGCCAAAAAATGCGGTTATCACCTGAAACCAAAAATTTTTACGGTGTTTGTAGCTAATTAGTTGGTTTAAGGCACTGCAATAGTGACGAAACACTCGCAGTGGTGGCTGATGGCGATGAGAGCGCAGCGAACAACTTTATGGCCTCAGTGCCATATACGCAATCAGTCAGAGGCGAAGGGGGTGATAGGGTGTCACGATGAAAAAATACGATGAGCGGAGCTTAGCCGACCTTCAATACTGAACAGCAAAAACTAACACTTAGTTTAAACTAGACGCTCGAGTAGCTTCTAGAACTCAGCAAAAAAATAGGCGGCTGTCCACGATCGCAACTTCTGCGACAGGCTTTTGAAGACCCTGAAATCTGTGGTTCATGAATTGGTAAATGTTCTTTTGTGCCACATGAGGTACATCGTTTTCTTGCTCACTTTGTTGTTGGTGTATGTTGTCAGTTCCCAAGAACAGAACATTCGGAGAGAAAACTACTAAGAAAGATGAGTTGGGCGTGAGACTGACTTGCTATTCAAGTTGGAGTAACAGAAGAGAGATGTCTGCAAAACTGCCACACCAAAAACGGAAGTCAGTCCGAATATGAGGGGCACATAGCCAGTTCCCCCTGCACAGGGCACAGCATTGGTTGGGGATTCCCTATGGGGGGGGTCGTATTTGGCCGCCAGGAGAGGGGGGGTCGTATTTGGGCTGAGGAAAAATTTATTTTGATAGTTGATTTTCTCGCTTCACGGACATTGTAAAAGGGGGGGGGTCGTAAAGAGTGGGGCAGACAGTGCCGAATAGTGCCGTTGTGGCAAAATCGCGAGAGTGAGACAGAGCTTGCGCAGTAACGAACTTGCAAAACTTTATGACTTGAAGAAAGGACAGTCAATAATACGAATTAGTTTGAATAATGAAATTTCAGAATCAGCCAACTAGCCAACCGTTGGGCTCTCCTGTGCGAACGGAAGTCCAGAAGATGAGATTCACCTGTGCCTGTGATGTGGAAAGAATTGTCAATTCAGATGCTGTACTTTATTGCAAGATAAAAGATTCATCAGTGGATATTGTCATAAAAAATTCCTGAAGAAAAGATCATCGTTCTTGATGTTTCTAATTCGCGTCTCGACTGTACTATGGCCTCGAAATCGCGTCTGCCTCGTAAGCGATTGTCTTTCATGTACTGAGTGACAGAATGTTCCACAAGCGATCGTCCATCAACTGGATCAATATAGATTTAAATTAAAAAAGGCATAGAAGAGAGAAGGAGTACCTTTCACTAAGGCATCTTTCACCTCCTTCATAAACTATCTGATCTTGCGAGGCTGGATGGCTTATGGGTCCAGCTTGTAAGCCGGGTAGCGGGTTTAACCATTGTTTTGCGAGGTTTTTAGGTCTCACAGTGAGGAGACTCGGACCATCACGTTGGACTCTACAAAATCTGAGTTGTAAGGAGATGAAAGGGTATCTCTGTAAGAAGATAATGTTCACTGATTTTCTGTCGAGGCAACGGCACCCACCTCATCAGAGCATCTATGGACTTGGTTCCCAAGCTGTTTCGATCGCTTTGTGTTAGCCTAGTGGCTGCTGAGAAGCTGCGCTCTGGATCGGCGTTACTTGCGGGGATCACGAGGACGCATTTTATGGCCTGAAAATTAGACAGTCATTGCCCTCCAGCTGCAATAGTAACTAGCGTTCCGAGCGTCCGGGGCCAACGACCAGGAAAGTATAGATATCGATCTGGGATCTGCCAGCATCTGTTAGGGTGCACCATCGTGCGGGAGAGGAGAGTATGCGCGATAGGAGAGTAGCAGACAGCTGATAAAGAATGGGAGATAGGGACTGTAACGCGATAGGAGGGTACCAGCTGTCTGCTACTTTCCTATTGCGCCATACTATCCTCTCCCGAATGCTGGTAGACGTTGAAGGACGCTGGCAGACGCTAGATTGGTATCTATATTTTCCTAGTCGCTGACGCTGCCTAACGGTGATGGGCGCTATCGGTCGCTGGTGAGCGCTGCCGCAAAAGTATTAAAGCAGTTTTGGGGCGCTGATCCAATGTTCTGAGCTATTTCTGTGCAGTCTTGTAGAATACTGTAACAGCTGAGTGGATGCTACGAGTCGCACTTTACGTCATTTCTCTTCGTGCTGACTCTTGATGTTGCCTACACGGAATCGCATTAAAAAACCGAATTGAGTATGGAACATCAGCTTTCACGAGTACTGCCAAAACCTTTTTCGTAGTTCGTTCCTTTTTGGGTTGACTCCAGGAATCTACACTCTTAATCTGCTAAGTATACAGGGGGGGGGGCAAAAAAAAGTCATTCCGGCCGAGTCACATATGAGCGAAGTTTTCGCAGCCCAGACAGAGGAAGTGGATATGAGTACCAGGGCGGAAGATACCCAAGATCTTCCTCTATAAGCAGGAGCCGGCTGCCGCCATTCACCTTCATGTACACCAAAATATGAAGTCATCTCCAGTCGCGGCCTGAGTGGAGAACGCCTTTGGAATTCACGTGGCCTCCAAACAGCTGCGGAACTTCTCACCCATGGATAGCTACCTGGAGACCAGTACTCTTGATCTGCAAGACCTCAAACATCGAGCAGCTCCGGCAACGTCGCTACGGTCCAGGACATCATCTTCACCCCATTCACCAAGGCGCGGGTTGATGGTGTGGACCGGCCGTACCTGGAATGGGAAGACCGATATTTTCTTTGTAGACCCCGACTGAAGGTGAGCGCTGGCGGTTACATCAAGTAACTCGAGAAGGATATCCTCCCTACATGTGGTCGCCCGTACCTTCTTGGAGACCTTGTGCTGCTACAGGTTTGGGTGCCACCACATGGAATCGAAGGGTTTTGGAACTCCCGCCTACTTCGAATGGAAGGGCGTTTCGTACCTGATGAAGATGTAATATTGAAATATGTCCCCTGACCTGAACCCACTCAATTACCTAGTTCGGGCGGAG